CTCACACACACTCACTCTCACATACATGCTCCCTTTCCACACACACACACAAACACACTCACACACACAAACACACTCACACACCACATTCTCTTGTACATACTCACTCTTATACATACATACACATACTCACTCAGTCTGGTTCTTTGTTCCCTCCTCTCTCTCTCTCTCTCTCTCTCTCTCTCTCTCTCCTACACACACACCACTCTCTCTTACACACTCACTCTTATACACACTCACAGTCTGTCTCTCACACACACAGACACACACAGAGACACACTCACACACACACTCACAGTCTGTCTCTCTCTCTCACACACACATACACACACATTCCCTCTCTCTGTCTGTGTGTGTGTGTGTGTGTGTGTGTGTGTGTGTGTGTGTGTGTGTTTGTGTGTTGGAGCGTCCAGTCCTCGGCTAGCGGTGCTGTTTCAGGTGGTTGTGGAATGGTCAGGAGGCAGCAGCCCAGCTAGAGGAAGTGGCCCTAGGAGTGGGCCTTGGGATAGCATTCCCCCGGGGCTCCAGCCTCTGTCTGCAGCGTGAGCAGCTGGTTCTCCCTCCTGCTGCTCTCTCCTGCCACGATGCCTTCCCCGCCCTGTGGGCTGTATCCTCTGAAGCCATGAGACAAAAACACGCCTTTCCTTCATTGACGGGTTTGTCAGGCTCCCCCCCCCCACAGCAACCAGAAAGGTCAGTGAACACAGTTTATGCCACCAGCAACCAAAGCACCGAGCGCACCACCTGTCTCCCGATACCCATGATCCTCCACACAGTTCGTCTCCCAACAGAATGCCTACTGCCGCCACCTCTGTTTTTAGATCCCAGTATGAAGCCAGAAGATCCATCCAGAACACAGATGATCTGGCAGTGTCCCCTCGATCATCCTTGATCTTGAGCCAAGGACGCTCACTCTTCTTTATTCCGGTCCCCACAGGTTTGTTATTTTGTAACAGTTGTTTGTAGTCCTTAGTCTTATCTAAACAGTGAGTGGTAGAGGCCTCCATTGTTGCTTATTTTATGTAATTCCCTTATTATACGAGTAAGCAGGATAAAAATACCTATCCCCAGAGATAGCCTGTATCCCAGAATGCCTTCTGTTCACCTCTTATAAAATAGGGACTCGTTCTGTTTGGATCATTTTGACCTGCTTTTTCTTCTTTTGAGTCAGGATTTTATTATATACCCCAGGCTGATCTTGAACTCAATATGTAGCCCTCTAACCCGGGCTTAGAGCTGAAGATCTTGTCTCAGACCCCTCGGTGTTGGAACTATAGCCTGTGCCAACATGACACAGCTTTGTCTCAGTGAATTTATGGAGTGCAAATCCCTCCTCTTCCACAAGCCACCCATCCATCCGCAGGGGAAGGCCTCTGTCTAGATGAGCTTCAGGACTCTGGCCAGATCCAAGTGGCCAACAGCCAGGCCTGTTCTGAAAAGTACCCCCTGCTGGAATTCAGTGTACCTGTGACTGTGCAATAGGCCCGACGAATTTATCCCGATGACCTGCTGCGGTGAAGTGAAAAACCTACTCACTGGAACTCAGGGAGCCTCTGCCCGACAGGCCACAAGCCTGTGTCTCCTGAAGTCAAAGCCTCTCTCACAGACCCAGAGCCGTTCCCAAGAGTGTCAGCATCAAAGGGAACAAGACAAGAGTCACCATCCAAAGCATACCCTGCAGTCCAGAAGACACCCTGGGGACCGCGTCTTTGCTCTGATCGTCACCGGCCCACGGCAGTCAGCCTGGACCCTCTAACACTAAAGCTCTCATCCTCTTCTCCCAACCCCCTTCCTCTGTCGCCCTCTAGAACACCTAACCCAGATGGGTTCTTTCACCCTGTGTAAAGCGTTTTAAAGACACTTCTCAATTCTCAACCACAGCGTGAGATGTCTCACAGGACGGGCAATTGCATGAGGCGTCTTAAAATCTCAACCGCCCAAGCAAGGTAGGGCGGGCTTCAAGGTTAACAGAGGCCAGGTCAGGAAGTTCATCCAGGGTTCAGGTCAGGGAGCTACAGCCCCAAGGGCGGCAGCCAAGAGTGGGGTTTGCTGCTGGCGAGGCACCAGCTTGCCCTGGCAGCACCCATTGGGTAAGGCAGGAAGGCCTCAAGCCTGGGGCCTGGGCTCCACAGCAAGTGCGACGCTTGACCTGGGCTGTGTAGTGAGACCACGCCTAAAACTTAACAAAAAAACAGAAGACACGAGACTGTAGGGAATCAAACCCCAAGTCACTGTCAGACCTATCAGCCCCTGAAAGTCAAACAAAAACAAACACAGTCTAGCCTACCAAGAAGACTTAACGATGCTTTTGGTTAAAAAAAAATTATTATTGGAGAGAGAGAGAGGGAGAGACAGAGAGAGTCTGTGTGTGTGTGTGTGTGTGTGTCTGTGTGTGTGCCATAGTTCACACTTGTGGGTCAACTTTTAGAATTCAAAAGTTCTCACCTGAGTTTGAGCCCTGGAATCCACTGTGGATTCCAGGGCTCAAACTCAGGTGGTCAGGTTTGTATAACACATACTCTTACCCATTGAGTCCTCTTTGTTTTTTTTTTAACTTTGACCACTGAAGTTTAATATATTCAAATTTAAACAGAGATTTGTAAAATATATATTCATCTTAAAACAACAATAATAAATTACATTATGTTCCCTATAACCTCTTTTATTTTTCCCCAATATATTTTTTATTTAAATTAGAAACATGAATGCTTCACATGTCAATCCCAGCTCCCTCTCCTTCCCCTCCTCCCTTGCCCCAGCCCCCCACATAATCCCCGCATCATTACCCAGGAAGGGTGAGGCCCTCTAAGGGGGATCTCCAGAGTCTGTCACTTCATCTGGGGTAGGGCCTAGGCCCTCCCTCACGTACCCAGGCCCAGAGAGGTTCCCTCCATATGGAATGGGCTCCCAAAGTTCATTTGTATGCCATGGTAAACACTGATCTACTACCCAAGGCCCCAGAGATTGCAGAGGCCTCCTCACTGACACCCCATTCAGGGGGGTCGGTATCAGTCCCATGCTGGCCTCTCAGCCATCAGTCTTGGGTCCAAGAGCTCCCCCTTGTCAGGTCTCTGTGGGTTTCACCAGCACCATCTTGACCCCTTTGCTCATCACTCCTCCCTCTCTGTCACTAGGTTCCAGGAGTGCAGTTCAGTGTTTAGCTGTGAGTGTCTGCCTCTCCTTCCATTCCATCAGTTACTGGATGAAGGTTCTAGGATGGCATACAAGGTAGTCAGTCGTCAATCTCATTATCAGGGATGGGAAATTAAGGTAGTCTCTCCACTATTGCTTAGTTTGCCAGTTGGTGTCATCCTTGTAGATCTCTGGAAATCCCACTAGTGTTATCTCTCTCCTCAAACCTCAATGACTCCCTCATCCTGCTATCCCAGCTGACCTTTAGTGAATCTCTCTTCTTGCGGAAGTCAGGGTCCTGACTGTGACTTCTACGCATGATGAGTGGGGAGAGGCACCCCTTGCTTGGCATCCTGACTTCACAGGAACATCAGCTGTCCTCACAGACTGAGGAGGCTCCTAAGGGAGACGCCTCGGCATGGGTTGCACAGCCCAGTCACCGGGGAGTGACTCTGTTGCTCCAGCCCCAAGCTCTGGCTCACGCTAGAGAAGATGGTGTGACACACTAGAGGAAAAATCAGATGGACGCTGGACCCAGCCAAGTTCTGGCCTTCTTATGAAACTTAGAGAAAGTGACCGGTTTCCTATTGCCGCTGGCGGGGGTGGGGGGGTGCCTCCATGGTGTTGGCTGGTACTAAACTTTTCTATCTGAGGGTTCAGGGGAAAAGACACTCACACTCTCCCTCGATGGTTCCCTTCTTTATTCCCTACTCTTCTGTGTTCTTTCCATGTTCCTTCATGACCAGTTCAAGGGAAAAAAGGCATCCCAAGTCAAAATTTTAAGGCCTATGTGACAGCAAGAAGGCCCAGCCTCTTCTGATGGACTGAACTGGACTGACTGGACTGAGCTTGGGCCACAAACAGCCATACAGAGATACATTTATTGTTACGTAAAGTATTTCCCCATATCAAGGTCCCTAATCTAATTCACACATCTTACTGAAGGAGAGCGTCCCAGCCTCTATAACTCAAGTCCTTTATTGTGTATGGTGTGTAATACACAGTAATACAAGGGTCTTAGGCGCGCCAGAAATGTCTTGTGGCCACAGTCATGGGATGGCCTCAAGGCCCCCTCAGCAAAACAGTGATTGTTTTCCACAAGGATTCTTCAAGGTCAAGGTACTTATAAAACACAGCTGTTCATTCTAATATCCATCCCATACAGCGATTCGGCTAACTTCCTACAGAATACAGGCGAAAGTGCCTTGTTTCAGTTAATGATGTACACTGAAACTTGTGGCTGTGCTTTTCAGCATTGAGACTAAAGGACTTTGAGCCAGCCTGGCTCCTGAGCCTGTCCTGGAACTCGCTCTGCACACAAGGCTGGCCTTGAACTCACAAAGGCCTGCCTGCCTTAGTCTGCCCAGTGCTGGGATTAAAGGCGTGTACCACCACTGCCCAGCCTCAACTGTTTCTCTTAATTCTAACTTGAGCTATGATCTAGGCACATCCCTAAGTGAAACGCATAGGCCCCTCATATTTATTTTGACCCATCAAGTACAGCTTAGAGAGGAATCATTTTTTTAAATAGTAATCTACAAGAAAAATGCCCGGTAGAGTGGGATGTTTCCATGAGACAAACACACTACTTTACAGGCAGTGGGGATCTCCCCACACCCAATTTAACCATTTGCCGGATACCAGAGAAAGATGGCAGCAGCAAACATGTAAGGGCACAGCAGAAGGTATTCCAGGGTCTGTGGTCTCAGGGCCTCGCCGAACCGAGATGTACCCATTAGTCACTCTTCCTGGTGGGCTGGCTGACACCTTGAACTTCAGCTGCCACCTGATGCTCCTCTGACAAGGCCAAGTGTGTCAGCCAACGTCGCTCGTGAAAAAAAAAAATACCTGAGACAACCAGTTTTCAGAGGAGAGTCTGAGAGCTGGAGAGCAGGCTTGAGGCTGAGAAAGAAGGCTGAGAAAGAACACTGCTGCTCTTCAGAGGACCCAGGCTTGGTTCCAGCACCCATGACGGGTGGTTTACAACTAACTCAAGTTCCAGGAGATAGGACACCCCTTCCGAACTCCATGGGCACCGGGAGCTCACATGGTACACACACATACATGCAGCCAAAACACTCAAACACATAAAACAAATTTTTTAAAAAAGGTTTATTTTGGCTCACAAACTCAGAAGATTTGGTCCATAGGTCACTTGTCCCACTGCTTTGGGGACCATGGTGACTCAGGGATTTATGGCGGAGTCTTCTGCTCCGTTCCTGGCAACCAGGAAGTGAAAAGAGGAAGGTGAAGATGAAGAAAGGCCCCTCTTCTGTCTTCAGGGTCACATCCCCCAGGAACCTAAATCCCTGCCACAAGTCCTCACATCCTAAAGAGCCACCTCCTCCCAACGGCAGGAAGCCAGGGACCAACTCCTCACCAGATGGGCCTTTGGAGGACTCTTCAAATCCAAAAATGAATGACTAGGTGGGGTTGTGTGTTTCTGTAAAGGTGAGTGAGGTTAAACGAAAGTGATGCCGTCCCAGAGGCCCGTTCCCCTAAAGGCAAGAACTGTGGGTCAGAATCTCAGGGTACACCCGGAAAGGGCTGTGCAGAGGGCTGCTTTGTAGGGTGGGTTTCCTCTAGATGAAGGAAAAGTTTTTTGTTTTGTTTTTTTCTGTTTCAGACAGATCTCTCTGTGGAACCCTGGCTGTCCTGTCTGTATAGCAGGCTGGCCTCTCACTCTGTACAACAAGCTGCCCCCAAACTCAGAACGGGGAGGAGTAAACAGCTGATACTTAAGGCTGCCCATTTGTCTACAGCAACAAAGGATCTAAAGTTTGTAAACTTATTTGTAACTCACTACATCCGCGATCAGAAGACCTCATCTCAACCCCAACTGCAGCAGCACACAAGTTGACAGCTTCCCTACAAGCGACTTTCAATGCTTACAGATCCCTATGTGTCCCAGCTAATGGAAAATTCTCACGTGTGTTAGAACTTGTCTTTGCTTTGGTTGGAACTGGCTGGGTATCTTTTGCCTGCTTTTAGATGAGACTACTTCATTTTGCTTGTTAGTTTGGAGGAGTAGTGTTCACTCATTTGGCAAATGTTCCTTCCGCTTTTTGCTTTCAGTACATTTTGTTTTCTTTTATCATGGAGGATTTAGGTTCATATATGTTCAAACTCCTTTCTTCTATGATATATGTGGTTAAAAAGGCATTTCCCCACCCCCAGTCAGAAGGTTCACAGGGAGTTTTCCTCTGGTTTGCTGATTCTATAATTTAGTTGTGTTTCTTAATCTGACCTATATTTATTTTGATGGTATACTAGTTGGATATACACTGATTTTTTTCCCTTTCAAATAGCAAACTTTTACTGTACAGTATTCTGGGGGGAAATCCACTCAACAGTTATTTTCAAGGTTCTTACCCACTAGGATCTGACTTTAGGTTGTTGTGGTTCATTGTTATCTTTCCCCGTCATTAATGCCATTGTCTTGTAATTGCTATACCAACTATCTATTTAGCTACCTAACAGGGCAAATCTTCCTTTCGTCCTTTGCATTTAAGACTCTCCTATGTCCATTCCACTCAGTGAGTTTTGATTTGCTATATTCTCCCAAATTATTCATTGAGACTTCAGTTAAAATTACATTGTCTACTACATTTTTCTAATGAGAGAAAGACAGTGTCTCTTTATTCAAACCTATTTATTATAAACCCCTCAAGGACTCTTGCTTGGCATTTTATACTATGACTGCTGTGAATGATGCCCATTTTCCACTCTGATTTTTAATTATTAAAGCACATGAAAGCTATTGATTCGGGAATATTAGTCTGAGTATCGCCACTTTGTGGAGTTTTCCTATTGATCACAACAGGATCTCCATCCCCTCTTCCCTTCCTCCTTCCCTGTTTTCCTTTGTATTTTTATTGTATTTTTGAGACACTGGGTAGCCTGGAACTCACTATGTAGACCAGGCTGGCCTCAAATTCACAGGTCCACCTGCCTCTTCCTCTGGGTGCTGGGATTAAAGGCGTGTGCCACCACGACTAGTCTTCTGCTATTTTGGAAACACCGAAGACAATAACTAGATTATCATCATGTATAGCCAATATGATTACATCGTATCCTCATTACAAATGCTTCCATTAGAGGTTAAAAACTGTGTATTCAGTTATTTTGTTTAAGTTCAACCCTCTGTTTCCCAGCAACACAGAATGTCTACATTGTGGCTTTCTATGAGAGGACATAACTTTGGTAGGTTGCAGTCCCATTGTCATCGGTGGCATTGGAAGTGGTAAGCCTGACAGGAGTAAGTCAATAGGATAACTCTCATCCTTGGTTCAAACCAGAGCACCAGACCATTGGACAGCTCTATAGAATTTGCCTTCTCACCTTGATTTCCATTAAAATGATATTCTTAAACCACCTGTAAAGTCTGTGGTTACCCTTGTTTTGTTAATGATATTGTCAGGGTATTGCCTATGATAACGCTAACTTTGTTAGACTTTTTTTTTATTGCCACGCCACATGAAGGCTGTTTATTTCAGGCGACAAAATCTGGGAATTGAGTTTCCTTTTCCTCTCCCATCGCCGAGGAAACTCCGAGCAAACCTGGCCGCTCAACCAGAGCAGGCATCTAATGCCCTCAGAGCTGATACAGTGTTCCTTCCGTGGTTCTCATTCCTCTTCCCTGGCTCTCCTCTTACCATTAATACTTTCTGTAGGTCGTTCTGAACCCCTTTTGGGTAGAAGGCCAAGTGTATAGGGTATTTTCTTTGCTACTGTCTCATGGCTGTCACTATTGCAAAGGAGCCTGTGACAGGTGTCCCTAAGGAGGGTCAGTGGTGCCCACTGGAAGGTGGTAGCAGTTGGCCTACTCTAACTTACCAGCGAGATTGCCACGCAAGGGTCTAGGGCCAGGGCTAGAGGGGGTGTGTCCTTTTCCAATGAGGAGACCTACAATCAGCCCCTAAGACTGCCTTTGCTTCTTGAGCCGATGTAAATTTTCCATTTTAATGCTTACTAATACTTCATATTTTAAAGATACTTTGAATCAATAGAGAACAGGGCGGTGGTTGCCAGAGTGGCATGGGGGATGAGAGTTGTTCACCAGTACAAAGACTTATTGGCATGGGTTAAGTTCTAGAACTCTGCTAGACAATGCCTCAAACTAAGAGTGAGGCATTGGCCAGCCACTTCAAATTCGCCGAGGGTAGGTCTGTCACCAGACGTTCTTGTCACAGCAACGACAGCAATTAGAGCAAAGGGACACAGAGTAACTCCTGGAAGGTTATGACATCACACGTGAATGAAGCTGTCCGGACCTGTCTAGCTATCTTGTGGGGTAGGGCCAGCTCTGTGTATCAACTAAGCCTCCACAGGCCATTTAAAACATGGCAAGACTTCTGAACCAAGTTACCAGCCAGTCCAGAACTGGGTCTTTGGTCTTCAAGACACCAGAGAACAGGAGTCAGGAACCCAGTTACCAGGAGATAGTGCAAGTCCTTTTCCACCAAAGCAGTGATGTCATAATGGCGTCAATGACTGTTCAGACTTAGGCCTCTGAGAAGCCTGGTTTAGAGTTCTGTCTCAGCTTTTTATGATCAAAGATTAGTGTAATGATCCCTACAAACCGGAAACAGCGTTGGTGTGTGGATCTCTGTAGCGTTCCTAGTACAGAGGATAGCAAAGTCATGTGGCGCATTCCAACCCTTTGTTTCCAGAGTTTCTTATCAAAACCCCTAAAGACAAGCGGACGCCAGAGAATACATGGGACGAGACCTTCCTACCGCCCTTCAGGTGTGTAACCCTGCAGAGTGAGTGCCTGCATTTCCAATGTTGCTGCAAATACCCAACGAGCAAGACTTTCAAATGTGAATTTAAAAAAAAGAAAGATCGAAAAATGAGATAGCAGGACTTTCTGATTCCACTCAAGGAATTTCTAATTTCCCCCCTTTTTCCAATAAAAAAACATGGCCACTCCTTGCTTTGCTTCTCTCGGGTAAAAAGCGGGCTTCCGTGTTTCTGATACACAAGCAGAGTCATTCGGGGAGGACACATTTGCCTTATTTGATTTTTTTTCCTCTTGTATATTAAAAAGAATTCGGCTATTAACATGTGTGATGTTCTCAGAATATATGATCATTTTAATTCTTCAATGCTTGCTTCCAGTTTCTCCACAAGGGCACCAGAAAATTCGCCCACCTTTTCCTCTTTCTTGTAGAACTGGAAAGTTGGGAGGCAAAAGACGTCCCGGTCTTGGACTAGCTGCTCACAGTCGTCAGCGTCCACTTCCAGGAACACCACGTCCTCGTGCTTCAAAGACAAGGAATGGAAGTGTGGCCGGATGGCTCTGCAAGGCCTACACCAAGAGGCTGAGAAGTCCACAGCCACCAGCTTCTCCCCGGCCTCTCTGAGCACCTCCTCAAAATCCTCCTTGCCTATGATCACTCTCACCATGTCTTCCTCGGGAAGTTCTACTTCCTCTTCAAGGTATGAGATGTCGCCCTCCTTGGGCATCGTGTCTTCGGAGGACTTGATAATGTGAGCTTTCTGGGACTTGATGGTGTCTTCTGAGGACTTCGGAATGACTGTCTCCTTGGTCCGGATGGTGTCTTTTAAGGACTTGGACGCTTTACCTTCCTTGGACTGTGGGGGCTTGGAGGTAACATTCCTCTTGAATAGGATACTGTCTTTTAAAGGCTTGAGGATTTTAAGATCTTTGGACAGGGCGGTGTCCTGTGAGGATCTGGGGGACTCACTTGCCTCGAATAGGATACTGTCTTTTAAGGGTTTGTGAATTTTAACATCTCTGAAACGGATGTTATCCTGTGAGGGTTTGGTGGTGTCGTTCTCATTGGACCAGATACTGTCATTTAAGGGCTTGGGGATTTTAACATCTTGGAACTGGATGTTGTCCTGTGAGGACTTGGGTATGTCACTGTCCTTAGATGAGATGTCTTTTAAGGGCTCATGGATTTCAACATCTTTGGACTGGATGTTGTCCTGTGAGGACTTGGGGATATCACTCTCCTTGGATGAGATGTCTTCTAAGGTCTCATGGATTTTAACATCTTTTGACAGGATACTATCCTGTGAAGACTTTGGGATGTCATTCTCCTTGAATAGGATGGTGTCTGGTGAGGACTTGGGTATGTCACTGTCCTTGAACGGGATGGTGTCCTGTGGGGACTTGGGAATGTCACCCTCCTTGAATAGCATGGTGTCCTGTGAGGACTTGGGGATGTCACTCACCTTGGATGAGATGCTGCTGTCTTTTAAGGGCTTGTGGATTTTAACATCTTTGGAGCGGATGGTGTCCTGTGGGGACTTGGGGATGTTACTGTCCTTGGGCCAGATGCTGGTCTTTAAGGGCTTGTAGATTTTACCATCTTTGGACATGTTGGTGTCCTGTGAGGACTTGGGGATGTCATTTCCCCTGAATACGATGGTGACCTGTGAGACCTTGGGGATGTTACCCCCCTTGGATAGGATGGTGTCTTCTGAGGACTCGGGGATGTTCTCTGATGTATTGGGCGTGCTGGCCTCGTCGTTTCCTGCAGCCATGTGAGTAGTCTCCTGTTTGGGATGGGTAGTTTTTGCCAAGGATTTGGGCGTGTTGCTAGACTTGGTCTGCGAGGGGTGGCCTGGGGTCTTAGAAATATTTTTCTGTTTCGGATTATTAGCTTTGGCTGAGGGCTTCGAGGTGTCACCCTGTTTCCCCTGAGTGTTTTTTGCTGAGGACTTGGGGCTATCGCCATGTTTAGGGTAGGTGGTGTTTTCTGAGAAACTGGGGCTGTCACTAACCGGCTGTAGGATCTCAGACTCCTCTGTGGACACATGTGTGCTGCTGGACATGGGGACGATGACCTTCTCCTTGGCCAGGGCTGTGTCCAATAACCCTGGGGTCAGAATAACCTCATTTTGGGATAGAATCTGAAATGGATTTTCTAAACGGAAATAAATAAATAAATAAATAGAGATGCAAAAGAAGAAAGAGAAGACTGAATATCTATACCAAGGAAGACTTATCCTCAGAGATGGTGAATGAATCTGATGATTAATGTGTAAATCTGAGTAGCTTCATTCATCAGGGATGGCTACACGGGTCTCTGTGCACCCCTTACTTTAACAACAACAACTTTTCCTTTCTCGGGTTAACCCAGCCACCTGCTCCCCAAGTTTACGGACCCTGAAGGCAGCCCTCCCCCTTCCCTTCTTACCCCTGATGTCGCTGTCATCTGTTCCTCCTTGGTTGCTTGGCCTCGTGGCTGACTCCTCAGGGCTTCCTGCTTGAACACTGCTCTTGTCCAACCCCTTGTCTTCATTCATTTTTATTGGCGGGGGGGGGGGGTCCTTCTTAGATTTTTCTTCTCTAACCAAACTAAGAACAAAGTGTACTAACCACTTAACACCGGGACAGCACTCGGCAGCCGGTGCGCCCAACCAACACTCCAACAGTGGCCCATGGAGGCTTCATGGCAGCCTCAGTGCCAGTGGTCATACTGTGTGAGGCTGCGGGTACATAAACAGGCATTATTTCCTCAAGTACAGCCAGCCACTGAGGTAAGGTCCATTGTGATCAGCACCTTACAGAGGGGGGGAAACTGAGCCCTAGAGAAGTTATATGGCCAGGATAGGTCAGGGTTCAAAGGTCAAGGTTTAACGCCTACTCTTTGCCAAAGAGCCTGTCTATGCCAGGAGCATAAACCAACTTTCTTTTTTTTTTATTTTTCTTTTATCTATTTACTTTGGTTGCTCAAGACAGGGTTTCTCTGTATTGTTTTGGAGGCTGTCCTGGAACTTGCTCTGTAGACCAGGCTGGCCTCAAACTCACAGGGATCCACCTGCCTCTGCCTCCTGAGTGCTGGGATTAAAGGCTCAAGCCGCCAACACCCGGCTAAACCAACTTTCTTATAATTTTCCCCCAGGATTATTCTCTAGCACCAGGCTTCTCTTTATGACTCATTAATTATGCTAGCTCCTTTCTCCAATACTGTAACCAAACAACCGAAGCTATGTACTTTTCAAAGACATGAGATTTATTTAGTTCATAGTTCTGGAGGGTTAAGGGAGTGGCAACATCATCTGTCTGGCTCTCATGAAGGAGGCTTCTTGGCAGATGGATACAAAGTCCCAAGAATGAGGTAAGCACAAACAAGAAAATCACACGTCAACACTGGAAGCCAGAGCGTGAAGACGAGCTAGAGCTATACCTATTCTTTGTCTTAGGGTTACCATTGCTGCGAGCAAAAGCTTGAACAAAAGCAACTCGGGGGTGGAAAGGAATCCCTTGGCTAGCATATCATGGGTCACAGTCCACTGAGGGAAGCCGAAGCAGGGACTCAAAGCCTGTAGGGGCCTGGAGGCAGGAGCTGATGCAGAGGCCGTGGAGGGATGCTGCTTACTGGCCTGCTCCTTGTGGTTTGTTCAGCCTGCTTTCCTGTAGAACCCAGGACCAGCAGCCCAGGGGTAGCACCACCCACCATGGTCTGGGCCCTCCCACATCAGTCACTAAGAAAATACCCAACAAGACAGGCTTATCCACAGCCAGGTCTCATCCAGGCAATTTCTCAGTTGGGGATCCCCACTCTGAGATGACTCCAGCTAGCATGTTCTCCTCACAAGAACTAACAAGATCATGGCAACCACCTTCATCCCTCCCTGAAGGAAGAACCCAAAAGACCTATAGACCGCCTCTTGACATTCCTACACTGGAACCAAGCTTCCAGTTTAGGAACAAGCCACAGTGCTCACTGTAACTGTCTCCTAGGCATCTTCTCTGAGAACACCACATTGTAGCAGATCTGCATCTCCTGCCAGACAGCCTCTTCCTGTCCCCAAGAGCCCTGCTTAATTCTCCCTCTTTCCTGAAGAGCAAGCTATACTGCTGAGCTCCACACCAGCCTGTGGGAAGGTAATGTGACTGCAGTCATGCATTCGTGAGGTACACATGGCTGACTCAGCTGGGACTAGCCACAAGGAAGTTGCATCCAAGGAAAAGTTTTAAACTTAATCTTATGTATATGAGTATTTTGCCTGCATGTATGTATGTATATATGTCTATACACCACTTGCTTGCCTTGTGACCACAGAGGCCAGAAGAGGGCATCAGATCCCCTGAAACTGGAGCTTCAGACAGTTGTGAGCTGCCGTGTGGGTGCTGAGAATCAAATCTGGGTCCCCTGGAAGAGCAGTCGGTGCTTTTAACCACTGTGTGATCTCTCCAGCTCAAGTTTTACATTCTTGACATATGCTTCTTTTTTTTAATGCAAATTTTCATGTTTCTTTCACTATACTATAAGAAGTCAAAACTAAGACGGTTGTCTAAACAGTGGCATGCCCATGCTGTCTATAAAAGATTTGAAACATCTACTAGTGGTGATTTCATTGTCTGGGCTTTGATATGGGACATATTCAAAGAAGGCAGGAAGTAATGCTGGTATCGGTAAACTCGTTTTAAATAGAACATACTTTATCTCTTCTCTGACAATTTCAGACAACATGCCTCGCTCATGTCCACCCCCAATACCTCCCCCTCTCCCTCCCCAGGCATCCTCAACATGGTTCTCCCCTCACTTCATGACTTCTTTTTTTGCAGCCTACCGAGTCGAGCTAGCATTGCCTGTTGGAACACTGACTGGTCTTGCTGGCTTGATCTTACAGGTGACCACTGACTGCTGCTGTGGTTTGTCAGTGCAGCAGCCGCGTCATGTGGGGACGATGGCATCGAGCAGCAGGTCCCCCCCCCCGCCTCTTTCACTCTCTCTGCTCTCCCTTCTAGGATGATCTACGGGGCCTCCTGGGGAGGGCTGAGGGCAACTCACACGGTTGCAGCTGTCATAAAAGGGATGTCTGTGAGCCTTGATCCTTGTAGCATAAACTTCATCCCTGGGATGTGGGCTTTACAGGGAGTGGCCTATGGCCTTATGATGTAGATGAGACGTCCCCGCTGAGAGGAAGAAGTGGGAACATCTCCCCTTCCATGTTGTGAGGAAGCCAGCAGGCAGGCGCGTATCCCAGCCTCTCCCTTCTGCGACTTGAAGCATCTGCATGGATGTCGGTTGCATGCCCTTGCTGGAGAGCTGCAAATGCTCCCATGCTCTGTCAGATGATGTGGGGTGGGGGACAGGGAGAGCCACACCCGGATGGATTCCACAGCCTACCCAGTCCTTGTCCCATCACAACGTGGGCCACCAACAGAGGGTGAGGGCATGCCTGAGATGGGGGTGGGGGGTGGGGGGAGGGGGCAGGCTCTGATCCCCTCTAGCACGCAGGGGAGGTGCCAAGCATCTGGCAGTCCTGCGCATACCTAAGTAGGGCTGAGAACACTTAGGCTGGTGGACCATGGAGGGCTAGAGAAAGCTGAGAAGCCAGGCTGGGGGGGGGGGGGAGGGATGAATGCAGCATGCCCCCCCCCAGTGAGAGACTGCTGGTGCTCCCCACATCCCCGCACCCTCTCACCCCCGCCAAGCAAATCCAGGCCACATCACAGGGGGAAGCAGCAGGAGGTGAGGGTGCCGGGCACAGTGCACCCTCATAGCTCTGTGCACCCCCACCTGCGTGGAAAGGAGAGGAACCTGAACACGAGGCTGATGCTACAGTGAGGAGAGCCTCGGGTGCTGAAATTCTACCAAAGGGCACATTTGATTTGGCCAGCCAGCTCCTCCCAAGCCGCCACTTAATCCCACTGAGGGAGAGGCTCGGAGGGAAAATTAGACCCATTTTGGAAAACATTTGAAGCCACATCACACCCGCCTGCTAGCGTCTTGGAGATCTCCTCGGTGTGTGAGGCTGGGCAGAGCTGTGCTGGTGGCGTCTCGTTTGCTCCTGCAGCTCGTGGGTCTCCAAGACACTTGGAATGTTGATAGCGCTGAAGAATTTCCACTCCGCTTTTCCTCAGCACAGGCTTGTCTCCCAGGTGTCGGGAAGCCTTGTGTGAGCCAGGGTGTGCCTTAGGAAGCAAACAACCAGCTATTTTAAGCATAGGATGGTTGAGGCAGTTATGAAACAGGATCTCACTGGGTCTCCAGACAGTACACAGCAGTGCAGAACAGACCTACCCGCCCATGGGGCTGCAGCCTCCAAGATCCCGGGGAGGCAGGGAGGCAGGGAGGCAGGGAAGAGTCACTGCCGCCGCCAAGGCTGGCTTCAAGAACTTTTCTGCTGCAGACACAATCCCAGGGTGAGCCTCTGGATTTCTTCTCAGCTCAAAGTTAGAGGTGAATATTGGCTTCTGCACATTCCTCCCTACTGGGCTCCTGCGGGAACGAGCACAGCTCACCACTGCGAGAATCTTAAGTTGTGCACAGAGCCCCAGCTGCAAGGGGCCGTAACTCCACAGCATTGAGCAGCCTGCTAGCAGGAAGCCAGGATTGGCACTGGGAAGTCTCTTCTGTCTCTGCAATGGGAGTGCTGTGGGCTGGTCCTGAATACACTAAGCTGGCATCAATTGCGCTTGATTCACAAAACGTTACCGACTCCTGCGAGAGGAACTAGAAAGCTGGAAAGAAAATAAAACCGACCCATTTTGTCTGTAGTGGTTATGTTTCCCACGGCTTTGACAAAAGGCCTGTCAGAAAGAGCCTTGGGGGTCAAGGTGTGTGTCGGCTCGAGGTTTCAGAGGCTGTGAGTTGTCGTGGCAGCGGGAGCCCACGGCAGCGTCATGTTCGTGTGAGCAGAGAGCAGGACTGGACACAGGCATGGACCATAACCACCACAGCAGCCTGACCTCATCTCCTATAGTTTCATAACCCACCAGATGCTGCCGTCGGCTGGGGACCGGATTTCTAAAGAGAAGCCTTTGGGGACCACTTCAGACCCAGCCCGTCTGTCCATTCCCATTCTCAGAGCTCATGGCTGTCAGTAGTATGACAAATACTGCCTTTTGCTATATGCGCATAGGCATTTTTCTTTAAAAGGTGTAGTCCATGTGTGTTGTGGACACACGCGTCACAGCCGGGGTATCACCGCCATCAGAGGACGACTTTCAAGAGCCACTTCTCTCCCCCAAGCAGCTTGTGGGTCTCAGGGATCACGCCTAGGTCCTCAGGCTTGGCAGCAAGCTCCTTCACCCACCAAGTCATTTCGCGGGTCTGACTACAGATAGAATCTAATGGGAACTTTTGTTTTTAAGAGTGACTTCACTTTTAGTTATGGAGGGGGGTTACATGTGTGAGTGTGGGTACCCGCAGAGTTCAGAAGAGGACACCTGGCCCCCTAGAGCTGGAGTGAGAGGTGTGTAGCTGGGAGCCTAACCCGGGTCCTCTGTGAGCTTTTAAACACTGAGCCCCTCTAGCAAAAATTTTCCTAACATCTGCTTTATTATCCTTTTTGCTTAAGAAGTGTCCTGGTGTTCGTTCACAGCAGGAGGCCCAAGAACCAACCCTCGCCTCTTGGCTTCGTCCTCTTCGACCATTCCCTGCCCTTCGAGGACCGGGAATTCACCGCAGTACCGGCTTTTACTCCCCATTGCACTAGGACTTAAACAATCGGCTTGGAAAGCACGAATTAGCCAGTCGCCTCTCGGTTGGGTTTGATGTTTCTCATGTTCAGATGAGTCTTGGGGAGGAAGACCAGAGGTAGAGGGCTGTCTTCATCCTCTTATTATAAATTAATATATCTGGGGATCATACTACCAACAAGCCTGAGGTCTAATGAGTTTGAACTTGAGCATCTGGCTGAGGGGTTATTGCTCAGTTTCTCTGTTGAATGGTTAATTCCTTCCCCTCTCTCCTTACTACATAGGAAAGGGGGAATGGGAAGGGAGGGAGGGAGGAAGGGGGGAGGAGCTAGGAAGAGAGATCACTTCACAGCCATGCTCAAGAGAAATATCCTATATAAATCACTTACAATTCTTCAATTTGGGGTTTTTTGTTCTTTTTTCTTTTTTTTATTCAGTCGAGGTGAGCCTGGCAAAGTGCCTTAATTTCTTGGCACTGTAATAAAATACCTGTCGAAAGAAACTTAAAGATAGGAGGGAAGGGTTTGTTCATATCAAAGTTGATTCATGGATGTCCAGTTTTTATTTTGTTTTATAAGCTGCTGCTTTGTTGTTTCATTGTTCAGATTGCCCCAGCATTTGAGATCGTGTTTTGAATGACCCCTGCTTCCTTTGTCATGAATTTACCCTTGCAGATGTCCTGTGCTTTCTGCTTACAGGATTGTGAGTACTGACCATCAACATGGTGGGATCCGGAATCTTCTAAGGGTTTATCTCGATTAGGTTCATTCAGGTGAAAAGAGTTATGGGGGGATCCACCAGAGAAGACCAATCGTTTAAACCAATAGAAAGTCTTTATCAGCCAGCCCAGCGGGCGGCTGTACTGGCTGTCCAAGACTCTGGTGTAGGCCCACATCTTCCTCGGGGTGAGATTTTAGGCATAAAAACCATGTCCTGGGCTGGCACACTTCCGTTCAAGAGCAGGTAACCTGAAGTGGAGCTACAGAACCGAAAATCCAGGGTTAGCGCACTGAGAGACTTTTCCAGAACTGCGGGCTCTGAAGGGTTAGGTCTTCATTCTCATTTTGACAGGTAATGCTGTCTACATTTGAGTTTTGTGGCCCAAATGGTACTTTTATCATGGAGTTAGTGGACTGGAGTCCCGGACTAAATAAAACAGAGAAAGCAAGCTAACACCAGCATTCAACAACCCCTGCTCCCCAAATGCAGGCGACGTAACATGACCAGTTCAGTGTCCTCAGAACCTGCCGCCGTGACTGCACCCTTGAACCTGAGCCAAAACAAACGCTCCCCTCCTCCTATCCCTAAGTTTCTTTTGACAGGTATTTTATTACAGTGCCAAGAAATTAAGGCACTTTGCCAAGCTCCCCTCGTACAGCAGTTCCCAACCTGTGGGGCTCAACCACCAGAAAACACATATTTCCGGTGATCTTCGGAACAGACGCTGCTCAGTAGCAAAATTACAGTTATGGAGTAGCAAGGGAAATAAGTTTGTGGGGGGGGTCACCATGACATGAGCTGAATTGAAGGTTTGCGGTGTTAGAAAGGTTGAGGACCACTGATCTAGTCACTGTCCTGACTCCAGAATCCTGCTTTTCTATGTTCCTTTGGTCAGAGGGTAGCAGTTAGGGGCAGACTGAGGATGTGGGCTGCCACACCGAGCTGGACAATGCATTTGAATCAGCTACGAAAGGCAAATCTTAATCATTGGAGAGCAAGCAGGATATGTGGGAGATTCCCCCCAGACACGTGGTTGGGAGTGTTCGATAGTAATCCAGGCACCTGTGACCTACATCAAGCCAAACAGACACGGGCGAGAGCCAACTCCTCCGTCTCCATTTGACCAGTTTGTCCAGGAGTACTAAGTCTGCCACGTCCGCAGCCTACAGCCACCCTGAGAGAGTCACAGGTGCTTGTGGTGACTGAGCCTAGAGGTGGGGACTAAACAGCTCAGGCCTGTCTGTTCCAGCACAAGCAGGCTCTGGCTTCTAGAGCCTCCTCTTGGAGGGAGTCTGAAAACGTGACTCATCCAGCCGGGCACTCCACTGGGGCAAAGTTAGCAGTCGGGGTCCTGCTTTGACTCCTACTATATTGTTCAAAGCTCTCTTGCGTAGATATTCATTTACTGGGAAACCTGTAGCAGCTTCGGTAAGACCCAAATTATTTCCAAGTTTGTTGACGTTTTCCTACAAGCACGCTGTTTAAAAGATGGTAAACTCGAAGGCCTCCCGGTCATAGTTCCATCCAGCCAGTGCTCACCCCAGCCAAGGGAAACAACAGACTCCTTCCAACAGACGGTCCACTTTCAGGAACAGCGGCCCAGCCAAAGGGTAGAGCAGACCAACAAGCCCCATTTGCCACCTCTTAGTGCGGTAGCTGGGAATCTGATGTTCAGAGTCGCCATGCTGGACTTCCTGGGAAGGAACTTCATTTCATTCTCACAAGGAGGGCACCCAGCGGGCATCGGTGACCACAGTCAGGAACATAGGTGAATTTCACGGGTTTAACATGGGAAGCAGTTGGAGAAGACTCGGGTTCTGTCTTCTAAAGCTGGCTGTAAATACGGTCTTGTATCTAGCAACCGCCAGCTTCACCTGGATTGTCAACTTGACTAACCTCTGGAGGGGACTAAAACGCAAACTGCTGGGCACCACTGTGAGGGATTTTCTAGTTTGACCGTTTGAGATGGGAAGAGCAGCCCTGAGTCTAGGCTGCACTCTCTGGCGGCAGCCCACGTGAAAGGGCACAGGAGGAAGTTCTCCGCTTTTTGCTTTGCTTGCCCTTGCTCTGGATGGCAACTCCGCCTGGCCTGCTGCGGAGGCCTCACTTCGCTGGTATCAGGATCTAATGTTGGGACTCCAGCTTAGACTGAAGACCAGCGGAGACATCTTAACGTCGTTTATTAAACAACTACAGAATCCTTGGCCTTTCCATCAGGAGACAGCCATTGCTGGACTAGCCAGACCATAGCCTGTAAGCCATTCCAATACACCCTGTTTTAGGAGAGAGAGAGAGAGAGAGAGAGAGAGAGAGAGAGAGAGAGAGAGAGAGAGAGAGAGAGAGAGATTCTATCAAGATTCATTCTGTAATTCTATTCCTAGAGACTCCTAATACAAACCCTGAATAAAGAAAAGGAGCAGTCGGGCGTTGGTGGCACACACCTTTAATCCCAGCACTCGGGAGACAGAGGCAGGTGGATCTCTGTGAGTTCGAGGCCAGCCTGGTCTACAGAGTGAGTTCCAGGACAGCCTCCAAAACAATACCGAGAAACCCTGTCTCAGAAAAAAGAAAGAAAAAGAAAAGGCGAGAAATGAAGGAAACTAACTGCTCCCACAAGACTTTCACAAACCACACACAGAAGGCACAAAAACAGAAAAGCAAACATTTAAATAAAGTTTAAAATGCCACCAGCCAGGACATGGTTCCCAGTCCCTCAGCCCTCCCATCCAACCACTCTTAGTGAAATGGGAGTCATGCGGCCTGCCCAAGCATAAGCCTTGGTGGCTCTAGCCTGTGGCACGGTGTGACAACACAGATATTCAGTGACAATAGGATGGAAATGGCCGTCTCCTGTGAGTTCCTCTCTTCTTTCTTTTGACCCTCCAGGGTAATACTTCAGAAGGAGGGAGAGAATAAAACCATCATTTTAGGGCTGGACTGTTCGGGTTAAGATATCGCTATCTTTGGTAGTACGGTTTGAACTTAACTTAGATGCTAGCCTGCTGTCCCCAAATCTACAGGGTTAGAAGTGAGGGGAGAGAAGCAAATAGGGATTGTGGGTAGCCACGACAGGGGAGCTGCAGACAGCAATGGAGCCGATGGGACCCAGCCCAGAGGATGACAAAGCCACTCCAGGCCATCCTGGAGAGGCAAAGTCCAGGAGGGTTGTTCCCAGAATGCCTCTGGCGTCTGCTGTGCCTCCCCCTGCTGGATGCTGCCCTGTGCCTGGTATGTCTGGCACGGTGTGATCACCACAGGAAGGGATCCCACTGTATCTGCTACAGCGTGAGTGTCACCTGGGGGAATCCCACCCCTCACTGGGCAGTTTACTTGCGGATCGTAATGAGGATGATGCTTATAAGAGCAATGTCGGTTAGTTAGATCTATGATCCAATTAGACTTTGAGTTAGCCTAAGAGGCACAGGTGGTTAAGACAGTAAAGATGATTAGGGACATGGTTTAGGTTTTTCTGTCAATTGCTCCAATAAGAGACACAGAAAAGGGCAAAAGTAGGCTAGATGTCACCTTCCCCTTTGTTAGATGTGGGATTTAAGGGCGGAAAAGGAGAACAAGGAAGTCTCATACATTATAGACCTGTGAATTCCGTCAGTGGAAAAGCATGCTGATGATTCAAGAAATCAATTATGTCCCTACACCCAAGGTTAGACCTGAGCTCCTTGGTCATGTAGCCTACAGAATTAACCACAGGCCTCAGTGTGCTTCTTGAAAAAGCAAAGTTGGGAAAGGAAATTAAATGAGCCTATTGTGTGTAAAGAAAAATAGACGGTGAACTGACCACCGGTTTAAAGTGTCTCTAGAGTAGAATTAAGACGAGAATCACACCAACACTGCAAACAACTGCCTGCCTGTACAAGAGGAACAGGCTGAAACACACTTAGCTTGCTTTAAACTTTGTTAATCAGTAATAAAAGAACCATTGCTTTGGGGTGAAGACGTTATGGTGGGAAAATTAGTACAAAAAATATTTTAACACTTGTGGGCTTCTAGGGAAAACCTGTAACTTATGACCTTTTTTTGAGAGAGAGAGAGACAGAGAGACAGAGAGACAGAGAGACAGAGACAGAGACAGAGGAGACTTCAGAGGCAGAAGAATAACAGTGATTACAGGACCAAGCTGCTTAGCACAGAGCAGCAAAGACTAAAGCCGAGAAGGGCTGCTCTTCCCTGGTTCCATCGGGGCTTCCGCACCAGATGATTGAAAAGACTGAAATAAAAAGGACGTGACTGCTCCTAGGGATGGTGGGGAGAGAATTTATCGTAGATATGAGGGAGGGCGTAACCAGAGGCAGAGATGTCTGGGTGAGTTCAAAGTGAACACGACCCCGAGCCAGTCACGTGAGGAGACAGGGAGAGGAGAGAGAGCCAGGAGACCAAGAGGCCAGAAGGGTAAAAACAAACCACGCAGCCAATAGCTGGATTACCTAGGGAAGAGCTGCTGCGGCCAGCCCAGCCCAGCCCACTCCCCGAGCTGCAGAGGCTTAGGGTGGGGTGGAGATTACCAGCCATACTGTGTCTTAGGCTTTCTGTTGCTGCACTGAAACACCATGACCAAAAAGCAACGTGGGGAGGAAAGGGTTTGTTCGGCTCACGCTTCCACATCACTGTCCATCATTAAAGGAAGTCAGGACAGGAGCTCAGACAGGGCAGGGACCTGCAGGCGGGAGCTGATGCAGAGGCCGTGGAGGAAGGCTGCTTACTGGCTTGCTCCCCATGACTTGCTCAGCCTGCTTTCTTATAGAACCCAGGA